TTTCCTGTCTAGAGGTTAAGTGTTCGCGCTTGCGATCGAAGGTCATCGGGGTTCATGGATACGTACTACCGATGGGTTACATACTGGGACGAAATGGTCGTCCAGTGCTGCCGGGTTTCTCTAATGGGGGTCTGACAATGAATTGATTGATGATTCCAAATGTGAATAATGAAATGATTGTACAGTACTTATTGATTTTTATTATCTCTCTGAACAATAATCATAATAATAATAATAATATCAGTATTTGATTATGTTCAGGATTTCAATATTAATTGTTAAGTTTAAATGGAATTCCTGATCTTTGCAACTGCAATGTTATATAACTTTTTACAGGAGTTCAAAATCTGCACGAGTTTCATTGAAATTATGAATCAGTCATTGTTAGACCACCATTCGAGAAACCTGGAAGCACTGAACAGCCTTTTCTTTCCAGAATGAGACTCACCAGCAGTAAGTATCGATAACCCCTGCATATGCGAATCGAATCCAAGACCTACGGTCTCGGGCGTGACCCCTTAACATCTACGCCACTGAGCTGACATCCAACAGTGTTATTGCTTAACTTTAATCACTCCATGATATTGTGCGACTTCATTCACTATCATCAGTGGGTAACTGACCAACATCCGATAGGATTGAAGGAAGTACTTGAAATATCATATATACATATATACAAATCATGTTACATAAAAATATCTTTACAAAAAAATTAATCATTTGAGGAATTAGGGAACATAAAGGAGATCAAACAACTATTCAGTATTGTTTAATGATGAAAGTCAATGGTATTAAACAATTAAAAAAATTCTTTAGAATTAAAATTATTGTCTTCAGTTACTGTTTGGATCAGTTCAATATTGAGATAATCAGCTAGTTAACAATTAATCGTGATTTTATACCACATTTGTACGTTCTTCAATTATCTTGATGAAGTTGTTAGTTAATAACATTTCAGACCCTATAGGCAGCTCAGTTGAGTTTCGGACTTCATTGATTTTAAATAATATTACTAAAATTTGAATATCACCTGGTTGCCCCCTGTATCTTAACTGTTCTCCATTAGCCAATCATACTTACTTAATGACTTACTTACGCCTGTTATCCCCAATCGAGCATAGACCGCCCACCAGTTTTCTCCAACATACTCTGTTCTGGGCTTCCCTTTCTAGTTCTTTCCAGTTTTTGTCGATTCTTCTCATGTCTTTCTCTATTCCTTGGCGTAGTGTGTTCCTTGGCCTTCTTCTTTTCCTTTTACCTTGAGGGTTCCATGTGAGGACTTGTCTTGTGACGCAGTTCGGTGCTTTTCTCAGTGTGTGTCCTATCCACTTACACCGCTTCTTCTTGATTTCCTCCTTCACTTGAATCTGGTTTGTTCCCTCCTATAGTAGGTTGTTGCAGATCGTGTCTTGCCAACGAATCCGACGTATTTTGCGAAGACAACTGTTTATAAGTACTTGTATCTTCTGAATGATGGCTTTCATAGTTCTCCAATTTTACGCTCCATACCTTAGAACTGTCTTAACATTTGTTTTGAAAATTCTAATTTTGGTGTTGATTGATAGTTGTTTGGAGTTCCAGATATTTTTCAATTGTAGGAATTCAGCCCTTGCTTTGCCGATCCGCGCTCTCACATCTGCATCGGATCCACCTTGGTTGCCGATGATGCTGCCTAGATATGTAAAAGTGTTAACTCCAATCACACACACAACCTTATATCCTATTTTCGATTTCTGTACACCTTACCTAATAAAGCGGAATATTCAGAAATAATGATGACAAACACCATGAATATATATATATATATATATATATATATATATATATATATATATATATATATATATATAGAGAGAGAGAGAGAGAGAGAGAGAGAGAGCCAACTTACAAAAAATTGCGATCCTTGTTTATTCTTTGAATATAATACAGAATTTTGTTTTTCCGTAGATGGAAATTTTTTCTGTGTCAATAATAATGGACTAGTAGATTGATGTAGTGCATTTTTATCATTCCATATCCAATATAATGTACCGAATAAATCATTCAATCCTGTAGCTTGATCATTTAACAATGGGGTATTTAAAACTCCATCTAAATAATCCGCTTGTAATGCAATTGGACAGATGATTGATTGATTTGTATTATTACTGTTACTATTATTATTATTATTTGTAAGTGAATTAGTCTGTAATCGCAAATCATGATTGTCTGTTGCATTTGGTATTGTAGCGAGAAGGCCAGATCGTGCAAACACCCAAGCATAGTAAGCTTGAAGATCTTTTATGGAAGAAAATAACAAAAAAGCATTCAAATCAATTGATTATAAAATAGGTGTGTTTGCTAGTTTTATAAATACAAAAAACTTTAGAAATAATCATCTAATCGAATTTACACATTTTTGAAACCATGAATCGATCAATGTTAGATCACCATTAGAAACCTGGAAGCACTGCAAGACGGCCGTTTCGTCCTGGTATGGGACTCCTCAGCAGTGCGCATCCACGACTCCTGCACCCCGCAGGATTCGAACCCAGGACCTTCGGTATTGTGCACGAACGCAATATCATCGGACCACTGAGACGGTTAGACGTTAACGCCATTAGATACTGGCTCAGTGGTCCAATGGTTAGGCGTTCGCGCACAATACCGAAGGTCCCGAGTTTGAATCCTGCGGGGTGCAAGAGGCATGGATGCGCACTTCCGATGAGTCCCATACCAGGACGAAACGGCCGTCCAGTGCTTCCAGGTTTTTAATGGTGGTCTAACATTGATCGATTCATGGTTTCAAAAATGTGTAACTTAACAATCTTCACAACCGCGTAATCCAATAATCAAATTTATTTTTCGCGATAAAAAAAATAAATTGATATTGAAAATGTTTACGAGACAATTGATAAGAAACTCAAGACTAATAAAATCGAATAGTTATTGCCATTCGCTAACAAAATGTTTTTGAGAATCATGAATCATTAGTTGTTGATACTTCGATGTAAAGAAGTTTGAATGTGTGATAAATAAGTGTACACTTATTATTAAACGTAATTGCATTTTGTACGCTTGTTAGTTCACCGTTTCTTTAGTTTTCCTGTTTTCCAGTTTTTTTCCGCATATGTTACTGTGAATGCTCCCATATATTACACAAGATACCTACGGGTTAAACGACAACCATTATAATATCCAGTCAAATTTATCATTATCTAAGTAAGAAATTATTTTATTCCAACTTTCTGCAGAGTTCGCCAACTGGTTATATTCAACTGAACTATAAATGACTGTTATCATTCAACAATAGATGAAATCTAATTACTACAATTATTTTTAACTGATATTTATTAGGGATAAGCTTCATTTAATCTTATTTGATTAATAAATCTAAATTTTAATGAGCTTGAAATATTTTACTAAATTATTTTTAATTCTTTTATTTCATCTCTTAATTTTTATACCTTATTAATTTTTTTTAATTTAAACTCACTAATATTGGTACAAAGTTGAACCGGAATATTTGTACGCCATACAAATTATTGAATTTGTGACTGGCATGAAATAATGCCTAGTTTACACAAAACAAAGCAAGTGGTTTTCTTAACAGGCCATAATCAAAGTCTTTGGCATGTAACAACTATCAACGTTGACAGAAGCAGTCTCAAGTTAGCAGGTAAGTAAGAATCGGTTCATACTCTATATTTTTTAAATTCAGGATGCTGCAGTCCATGTTAACCAATGGTTAGGAATCAGGGTTTTCCTACTGCCCTAGAAGGATCTTCTTCAGTACTCAGAAACTCGGTTTGAGCGTCCAAAATTCATATTTTATGCTCTTACCTCTGCTACGAGAAGGCAGTGAGTAGGACCTCCGCGAGAGTGGTTAAACACTCATAACTAGATGAAAGCATTTTAGAAAGACTTCATTTAACAATGTATGATTAGACAAGCTGTGTTGAACTCAAGCTTGTTAAGTGAGTGACTGAATGACATGACCACACTCATCCGAAGTGTATAGATATGTAACAGTTTTAGATATTTCACTTTATTGATGTTTTATTTGCTAAAATAATGATACGCTAAATTAAAAATGTTAGGTTCGTGACTCGGTACGCTTGAAGCTATGACGGGTTCACAATAGTTGATAAACGTGAACGGGGCAATGAACCAGCGTCCAGGTAGGCTACTTTGATTCGAAAACGGCAAAAAAGAAGTCTTGATTAGCGTAGAAAGTATATTCTAAAAACACCCAGCCGGCACACAATGAATCCAACCACACAACTCTCGTTTATTTATACATAATAAAAACATCCTTAAGACAGTCAAAAAAATAGCACATTAAAATACGCAGCAGCCAATCACAGCCAAGAATTTTCTTGGTGAGAAATGAAATCTCAAGGTCGACCGATCAACCCATGCTGGCAAACGTGAAATCCAAGATAAGGCATTTATCAAGTGAGTTCTGGGGATCTAACGTCTCCAACAATAAATTTAACACGTCATTTTTAAATTCGAATTCATTGATGATAATGGCTGGGTTTGTTTTCAAATAATATCGACTTTAATTTGTTATAATGTAGAATATATCGGTGAATATGAATATTGAAACATTTTTTCTCCTTATTTCATCAAAACAATTTGATGCAAAAATAAACAATTTAGGTAAATTAATTTTTCGCTATTTAATAAATTTATATAATTTTTTATTATTATTTATTAGAAAAATATGAATATGACTTTGTCTCTTTTTTTTCATGATTACAAATAAAAATCACTAACCTTCAATACTTAATGTATTGGCATCGAATTCTTCACCCGATTCGACATTGTATATCTAAAAATAATTAATTTTTACATAATTAATTAATTAATAAGAAATAAAATGAAGTAAAATTTGCATTTTCAAATATGTACAAATATATATATCATTAATTTAAACAAATTATGTTCATGGATTCAGTATGCGTTTTAAATGATCTTTATCTTTATCGCTTGCCGTAAAATTCAGGACGTATTTGTCTTCCTAACTGAGATAAATGTATCTTATAATCCCAGGTAATGATGTTTATATATTGAGGCTCAACATATGGACCTTTCACTCCATGCGCTAGTACACGATCCATGAAGTAGCTGAGCATAGAGTACTAATGTAGTGAAGGAGAACACAGGTGAGGGCAACCGAATTGTATTTAACGAAAATTACAGAGTTGCTCAGTAAAATAGGAAAACCATATCGTTAATCGTTAATTTGCAAAATATCAATTCCATTATATCGAAACTGGACTGTTCCTGTTGCAAAACATCAATCCATTGTCACTATTCATGCGTTTCGTACAAATTCCATTGTTTTCTAACTCTTCCTTTCTCGATCTTACCCCATCTTCTGCTGCCAGACATTATGTTGACACTCACGTCATATACTACTTATAAGTAGCTCGCACCACACTAATACAATGTTCAATTTTCAATAATTAGGTAGTTCAAAAATTTTATTGATTTTTTTTATTTCTTACTGGTTCATCATTATTTTAACATATTGTGTGTGAGTAAACCTTGTGATAGTTTAATCGGAATTTTATCAGTGAAAACACAGTGGTTTACTCAGCTCTTAAACATATAAAAAGTGTAAACAATACCTTACACTTAGGTTGAGTATTATGAAACATAATTAATTAATTTTATTCAGATAACAATTACAAAGTTAATTATGTACACACACGTGATAGAATTTGTGTAGCTGCACAAATATTGAATAATGAAACATTCTGATTTTTTTTATGTATGTAATCAAATTCTTTCTCCACTTCATACAAATGTATCTCTATAAAGTTCGTAACAAAACTATGATGATTGAATATCAGCACTTGTACAATTTTCACGATAATTATTATCGTTTGTATTAATATTCCAATTTCTTCCATTCTTAGTGATAAATATGATGATAACTGTTAAGAATAACAAATACCTATCGATATGCTTGAATGCTATTACGATTTCACCTTACTCAGTAAATGGAACGCAGATAAATGATGTAATGACACAATAGGTTATTCTAATCAGATTGTCCCCGGGAGTAGAGAATGTATTCTACAGGCACGTGGAAAATACGAGGTCGCTAAGCACACAAATCAAGCTTATTTATACAATGATAGCAACGCCCTTGGGAGAGCCACAAAAATAGCGTACTAAAATAATCCATTAATTAATGACAGACAAGAATTTTCCGAGTGGGAAATGTAAGCTGAAGGTCAACTAAGCGTCTTGTGCGGGAAAACATAAAAAATCTAAATTTCAGGAATGAATTACAAAATTAGGACTTTTCCAAGTGAGTTCTGGAGATCTAACGTTCTCAGCACCTATCAAGTCCAATCTTGCTATTGATACCTACCAGATATCGTGTTTAGTCTATTATTTGTGAATGATTAAATGTAATTCAGTTAACTTGTGACTTCATCATGGTTTTTAGATTCATCCCTAACATCAGTATTAAGTAATAGCAACTTATAAAGGTTGTCTTAATTACTGTCAATGAACTTGGCATTGGTTTTATCAGTCTAGGCTTACTATATGACCTGAAAGTTTGGAGTTCAGTTTCACAGAAAGATAAACGTATATGTTAATTTGTAATCAGAAAATAAAATAAAACAAATATTTATTCATCTCAAATCTGTAATTACAAAATTAAAGTCATATTACTTATGTACGAAATGAAATTCGCCGTTTAAAATCAAACGAAATCGTAAACACTTAGTTGTTCTATCGTCGGACATTTATTTAGCAACAGTTGAAGTCAGTTACTGATATGACAATATCAAATCGATCAGTGTGATGCTGTAAATATGTGTTCGTATAGAAAGTTATTGATTAATTGGTGTTAACTACTACTCAGTTTAAATCATACAAATCTGAAGGTTGATCTGACTTTAAATAAATCATATAAAAAATAATATGTTCAGATATCAGATCGATCTGTTGTGGCGGTCAAACAAATAGTCATCACTAGTGTTTTTGTTCGTATTAAGTGCCTTTGGATTCGGGGTTTCGTCACACAGTGTAATGAATGAAGAGGTTATTATCAAATGGTAGAGTAGTTTATTTAGAGAATACACCATTTACTAACAAAATGTGTACATCTAATCTTCAGACATTCATTTGCAAAACAAATAGATTATTGACTGTGTTCTTTCGCATGCCTTTTGATATTCAAATAACACTATGATCTCACCATGTGTTTTTTTCTCCGGTAGTAACTTCTGAATGACACTCCGCTGCACATGACTTGGAAACCACATTGCAAGTAGTATCCACTACAATAATACTAGTCACTTAGATATTTAACAAACATCATAGTTATCACTTGACCACGTGTAAATAATCCATGTCAGTTTTGACGATAAGTAAACCTTATACAGTGGAGTTTTGCTTCATTTAACAATCAAGTAGAATTCACTTTTCAACTACTGCGTCACAAGTTCCAATCTGCTTTATGTTACAGTATCGATCAGTGTTAATTTAAGTAAATATTGATTATAACTGGAAAAACCATTATGAGGTGGTGGAGAAAACTTGTAGCTCAGGTGGATGATTGTGGTAGTGTTTCGTTCACAACCAAAACAACCAGCTCAGAGAACGAAACACCACCACAAAAACCATTAATTTTTCCATTCAGTCATTAAGCAGAATAAAGCAGAATTAACATATTTCTACTCTTATTTACTCAGCTTTCATTCTATTAAACAATCGTTTTCACATGTAGGTTCTTAAAAGACTCTTTGTTTTGTTTTTTTTAAACAACTCTACTCAACTCAACAACTAGTCATTGATTAAAAATTTGATATTGTTAACAATGAAATGATTCAAACTAACAAACTGTGTATTCAATATGAAGAAGTTTAATTTTTTTTTAAAAAAAAAAAACTGAATATTTTGAATTTGTACTAGGCAGAATCAATGTACATGTATTGATGCAAACTCCTGCATTGTTGTTTACAACTAACTGACTAATTCACAAGTTTTAGAAATAATTTTACAGTACAATTATTTGGATTATATTTTAGTGCATCAAACACGTGAACAAGTTTTCATAATCAAAAAAAAAATAGCAATTTTAAAAAATATATTTACAATTAAAACAAAGAGACGCACACATTGAAATCACTTACACTTTTTCGTATATAATTAAATATATTGACAAGATAATTAATTTTCCGTTGAACTGAATAAGTGTTTGTTAAATATGTATAAACATGGATCACATATTGTATAAGAGATTCGTTGGGCGGTGCAATTAATGCCTAATTGAAAAAAATGTTGTGTTAATGAAATTCATGAATTTAGAGGAGAAAAAAATCAAAATAGAATACGAAATTTTATCAAATAACAAATCCAATGACAAAAAAGAATTTTAGTAAGATGATGAAATACTGATTCAATTGTTTCAAAGTTTTATTGAAACCATGGATCGATCAATGTTAGAACACCATTAGAAACCTGGAAGCACTGAAAGACGGCCGTTTCGTCCTGGTATGGGACTCCTCAGCAGTGCGCATCCACGACTCCTGCACCCCGCAGGATTCGAACTCAGGACCTTTGGTATTGTAGGCGAGCGCTTTTTTTTGGGGGGGGGTAGACTATTAATGTGTTCGTCAGGTGTACTATACTGAGAAATTCTGAGCTTAGACAAAAATATTATCTTGCTGCTTTTAAAGGGATTACCTAAATGTACATTAGTTCATCTCTCATAAGTCACTAATTTTTATGTTTACCTAGTAATCATTCAGGGATTAAACTGTCAAATCTGATACAAAAAAATCCTAGACTGGTAACTAACATATTTGGCTGATCCTGAAACAAAACATAATCTCATGTTTTCATCAATACCATACTTATACGCATTATGTAAGTAGCGAACTAGTAAATTCCATAGATATTTAAGTCATTGCAACAATTCTCACGAAAAGTACTTAATCAATAGATCAAGCGGATCAAGTCAATCTGACGTTGTGTGTGTATTGTACTTGTCAGAGTAGCTGTGCCCCCTGATACACCCAGTCCACTACACTTCAGCTCAATCCAACAGCCAATCTAAAATTACATTGTTAGATTGGTTCAAACAGCTAACACTAGCAGATGTCCCATCAAGCATAACCTAAACGAAATCAAGAACTTCAAGGTTTATCATCACAATATGAACTAACGGAACTGTAGAAAGAAAAAAAGGTAGTCACGGAATTATAAGATGAACTTTAAAGTATTAGCTTCGAAGGAGAAATATTCTACTTTCGAGAAAATACGAAGTCAAAGGTGTACTGTAATCAGAAAATGCGAAATGCGACAAGATATATTAGACATAAGAGATTGATTTTAAATATTTGAATGAAACACTTTCATGATCAGCATTATTCTCAACTCATTTTATAATCAATACAGATTATTTCGGTGAGTTAATATTTAAGTCATGTTGGGGACTTTACATCCCCAGAACTCGCTATATAAATGCCTTATCTTGGATTTCAAGTTTGCGAGCATGGGCTGATCAGTTGACCTTGAGATTTCATTTCCCACCAGGAAAATCCATGGCTGCTGTGTATTTTAGTGTGCTATTTCTGTGAATGTCCCAAGGACGTTTCTATGATGTATAAATAAACGAGATTTGTGTGCTTGATTGTATTGTGCTTGATGGGTGTTTGTAGAATATACTTTCTACACTTATCAAGACTTCTGTTTTGCCGTTTTCGAATCAAGGTAGCCTACCTGGACGCTGGTTCATTGCCCCGTTCACGTTTATCAACTATTGTGAACCCGTAATAGCTTCTAACGAACCCAGTGACGAACCTAACTAGTCATTGCATGAAACCTACTTTCAACAGTCTAGTTGAGTTATGAAGAGATGATATTTTCATTTGTGTACAACATTGCTAAAGTCTAACTACTATCTGGATTTTTTTATTTATTTTATACTTAAATAATGTCATTCTAAAAATAAAATGGAGCACAAAAGTCTCTTAATTGTTTTCTTTCAAAATCCTATTCAATTTGAAAAAAAACTAATTGATTACGAACCAAATCAACAGTAACAACTACAATAAATTGATGACATGACTCAAAAACCGTTTGAAATTGCATAGGTGAATTCATTCTTTATGTTCCGTCAAATCCTAACCTTCTGAATTTCTCATCACCTTTATCTTTTTCTTTTTTGAGTTTCTTTCACTAGATTCTACTTCTTGAATAATAATATCGTCGAACCCTAATTTCTCCGATTACTGCCCATAATTTTACTACCTATAATACTATGTGATCCGAATTGACAATTCCATTTCTGTGTGCTAATGTGATATGACAATTTGAACTGATGTACGTACGGACGTACGTACATACGAAGTTCTACGTTGTTGCCGATTGATTGACTGATTGACAATAAAATGACAAAAGAGAGGTTAATCACATGAGAAATAGCTCAGAAAAAACAAAGATAATCGAACACTTTCTTAATAAAAATAGATTTTAAGACCAAAAACGTAAATAAATAAATGGAAGCTTTATCATTGAACTTCAATAAACTAGAACTGTACATTGTTTTAATCGGATTATAGAAATCCGAATAAAAATTTGTGAATAGAATCGTTGAGGCATATTTTTGTTTTCGAATCAAAATAAATAAATAAACGTTTAACATTTTCATGTATTTTTTCAAATTGAACTAACTAACAACAAATTATTTATTTATTTATATCAGTATGGAAGTTCGAATTCAACTCTGATTTGATTTATGTATAGTACAATGAAAGAGAAAAAATATTGTTAGGTCATTTATGTAGGCCATATGTTTATCAAAAAATATTTAGGTTAAAGGTTTGTAGAGATTTCTTTGCATTCATATCTGGGTAATGTGTTATTTCTATTTGAATCTATTCCTGGGTTAGTAAGCTGAAGTTATCGAGTAAGGTACTCAATGGTATTCCGGTAGCAATAGCAATAGTAAGAGTACTTATTGTACATAGTTGTTCAACACGTCAAATTCATTTGTTTCTTTCAAAAGTTACAATACTTTTCTTTGTATCCTTAATATGTCCTTCTATCCTTCTCTTTTAGTGAGGCCTATAGAGTTGTAATTTAGAGGCATGAGTGTTTTGCCTTCGTGCAATCACAGCAACACTATTGTATATGAACTGTTTGAAGTATTCACCTTAAAAAGGTTACTTCTGATAATTTTTATAGGTGATTGCTTCATTAAGTGCGGTAAGATTTACAAAAAATCACTTTCTATTTTTGACGTTGAAAGCATCTACTGCTAGTATTGGGAAAACGTTTGACATCTCCATTACAGTGTGAATAACATGGTAGAAAATGCTTATGCTTTATCCCATGACGCTGATACAAACCTCTGAACTGTTCTAATGTGAACAGTGTCTGACAATTTGTCTCGGAAGAAAATTTCTGTCAGCACTTGAGTGGTCATACTGATGGACGGTGTTACCATAGATGATCTTTGGCCATTTGTGGAAGGCATCCATGAACATAAAATATGTTCCATTGTTTGTTGACCCAAAGTTTATATACTCTTGTAACTATAGTTCTTCTGACCATGTTGGGTTACTGGGAGATACCTAGTGAATATTCCTCACCCTCGGTGCCAATCTCCTGATGAGGATGGATAAATGATGGACTGTTAGCATAGTTTTAGGACGACCTAGATCTGGTTCGAAAATAGCAATAATATTTCCCAATAGTTTATTTCAGCAGTGTGTGGATATTGTGAATTGAAATATTTTGCATATGAAACAGAGATACTTGTCAGTTTAGTGTAGAGTATCAAACCGGTCTAAACTAAGAAGGCTTAAATCAATGTCCGTGAAATATGATGTTTCTTTGAAAAAGATATCTTAAAGCAAAATGCTGAATTAATTACCCTGTTAATTTCAAGTTACTTCTACCATCTGCTTAGTCCCCTCCCCCCACTATAAGTTCTCCAAGTAACATTCACTTACTCCTCGGCTCTCTGAGCTAAGATCATGTGTAGCTATGAAACATAATAATAATCTAGGATTTCGTATCCACCTATTTGTCAGTTGATCAGTAGAACTATGAATTTCATCTCACCTGCTTTTTCTCTCAATAGGTAGCAAACAAACGGAATAGAGAAATATATTAATGATATAATAAGTAAATTCTCGGTTGTAGAATTGAAAGAATAAATTCCGATCAATTGATGATATGAAATGAAACAATTTGGCTAAGTGATAACAGTTCATGAAACCATATTATTGACTTAAGCCTCTAGATGATTTGAAATCAAAGACAAAATAGGTTTTCTATGTAATAAAGTGACGTGCTTAAAACAAAATAAGCACGGTAAATTGACCTTACAAGCATTTTCATAGATTACTCACTCTCCTTACAATTATTACCTGGCTGTTTGATCTAGTTCTTGCGCTTAGTATCAATTCATCTGCAAGGTATAACAGTCAGTGGATTGATTTGAATTTAACATTCATCTTGAATAATTTACTGTATGCAAATCAATAGTATGGACAAGTAGACGACCCTTGATATGTTTCAAGCAATTTTTTAACTTTATGACAACTGTTTTTAACTAGTAGACATTTTTTTCACAACACAAACATTAAATCCTCTTTAGGATATGACATTTGCGAATATTGTTCAACTGGATAACTATTTCATCCTAGTATGAGACATCATGTCAGTACGCAGCTATAACTTTGCCAGGGAAACGAATTCAGAACCATTAGATCTCATATCTCTAACTTTAGTGTAACTTATCCTAGAAATGCATACTAAGACTAGATCGAGTTCAATGCTCAATAATTTTTTACTGACTGTCCAATTAATGTCAATTCGTGATGCAAACTACCTTGCATCGATTTTCTTTAGTATTACAAATTCAATACAGTACTAAATAGTACCAGTCCAGTATTGCTCCTTAACAATTGAATTGCTGTGATAAGATATTCCTGGAATATAATTTGTACGATTACAAGAACATTCCTTTTTGATTTATAATCTAATAATAATAATAATAATAATAATCAACTACAGGGCAATGATGTAAATTATAATTGACATAGAAATAAATCTAATTGGTTCTTGTTAACAATCATTAGAAAAATAAATAAATATATACCATTACATACATTACAATTACAACAATCCTTAATATTAAAATACAGAAGAGTATGAATTGATAGTTTTGTTTGTTCAAACGCATTAAAAATCACTTAAATCTCTACTGTGCTGTTGGCCTGCACACCCACGCACATACACACATACGCAT